TAGGCAACTTACCTAGTTGGATCCTAGTCATTGGGTTTTTATTTAGGAAAAAAAAAAAGATTTTATTCAAACAAAAATAAAGAGATGGGTGTAATTGAGGAAAAATGAATTTCAAGGAGTTAAGCTAAATTTTCTAAAGTTTTTAGTAAAAATAAAGTGCTTGCTTTGTTTTCTTTTGTCGAGTAGAGCATAATTTCCTATATGCTAGTAGGTTTTTTTTTTTTTTCAAATTTTTGCTAAGGTATATGCTGCTAGGTTAACTTATTAAACTAGTTTAACTTTTAAAGAAAATTAATTATTGTATTAATAATTAGCACAAATTAATGTGTTAATCATCCAATTAAAAATACCCGCAAGTGTACGAATCTAACGGAGTATAGATTTGTAAATACAGAATCGTTCCCACGAGAAATTGGAGGCTTATTCAAAGGTCTAGTTGAGTACGTAAAGAACACTTATTTAATACAACATAAAGGTTAAATACAAATTGAATACTAGAAATGAGTAAAGAAAAGTGAAGGGAATGAAACAAAACAAGAAACCAAGGGTAAACACAATCAGCATTTTGTATCACTCCTGTATCACCGCTTTGTCACTATTTTATCACCATTGTATCACTTCTTTATCACCCGGATACTGTAGCACTTTTAGGTCAGAGAGGAATTTATGAATTTCCTCTGTTTTCCAGTTTCGACCTCTGTCCCGTTTTTGACCAGTAACTTTCAAACCATTAATTCAAAGTTTACGTTCTTCATAGGTTGGATTCAGCACGGAAAAATGAAAAACTCAACGTGAGCCAAATGTCAAAAACATATACAAAGTGAGCAGAATTCAGTGGAAAGTACACTCAAAACTTCAAACAACACACATACATACAAAACAAGGGGGGAGTGGGGGTTGATTCAAGTGAACTAATTCTAATGCTTAAAATTTTACCGAAATCTAATTTTAGCAAGATCAACAAATGTGATTAACAAAGTATAATTTAATATGGTGACAAACACTAGGGTTTTCGGAATCCACCCTAAACAATCATGCTAATGTTTATGGATACTCAAGTTATGAATTCTAGATACATTGATGAAGATGTTCACAATCAAGATTGGTTTTAGTGACTCAAGATGCATTGATTCTCTCTAAGATAAGTAAAGTGCGTGTTTCGTGCTACAATACTTGTGTTTCCTACACAATCAATCTAGGTGTGTTTAGTACTTCGATTTAATCATAGAAAGAAACCCTTAAGTTTGAAAAGAATATGAACATCATAAGAACCCTAATAGTATGGTGTTTACATTAGGCATTCAAGAAACCAATTCATATGAATGATTCTTACTTCATCCATTAGTTGCTTAGGAAAATATGAAGATACATATAATCCCAACAATCTCAAGAAGCATGCTTTCAAGGGTGATCAATCAAGGAAAATATACATCAAGGATAGATTAATTCAGTGAAGAGGACTTCATCCAACATCTAAAAATCCATAAACTCAAGCATCAAAACAATAGAATATGCATGTTTAGGGCTTCAACCTAAGGCGTAGCTATGAGGCTTAGTTCCTCATGTTCATAGTAAATACAACTTGAAATAAAACTAGAAAGAAGTTACAGATTTTGTGAAGATGAAGGCACAAGATCTTCAATGGTGTAGTTCTTCTCCTCCTCTTAGTTGCTGATGCCCTTCTCCTCTCTCTCTCTCTCTCTCTCTCTCTCTCTCTCTCTCTCTCTCTCTCTCTCTCTCTCTCTCTTGTTTTTCAGAAATTCCAAAGTGTTTTAGAATATTTCAAATGATTTCCTTCCCCTAGTTGCCCTCTCTCCCTTGCCAACTTACCAATCCATAAAATACTGAACCTTTTCCTAAAGCAAGGTAGGCTAATGTCCCCATTTCATCATTTCTTTGACTTTTAATGCATTAAGAGGGATCAGCTTACCTAGGTAAAATATTGTTACCAAGTGGTGTTGTAACAAGTATAAAAGATAGGGTGACATCCAATAGAGGTAAAGGTGGTCCAAACCACAATTCCAGAGTTAGGATCAATGCTGGATCGGTTGGCTAGGCTATACTTGATCAATGGAGCTCACATTCGGATATGTTGTAGTCACCATCCATTGGAACAAGTTTCATGAAGAGCTTCACCTTATTCGAGTACCGGAGCATGGTGATCCATGGTCAAGAAGTTGACCTACGAAAATGAACAAAATCAGAATTTATATTCAACAATTCACTTTTAACTCGCATTTATTCCAACCAAGGTACAATCTATAAAAACACAAAAAGGAAGAAAAAATCAATAAAATGTCAAGGATTAACTCAAAACATTGAGTGAATGACATGATAAATCATGTATAAAAATGAACCTAACAATAATAACTGGTCCTTTATTGAGTTTCCTCTTCTTAATTAGTTTTAGAGTAAATAATTGGGCTTATTATGCTTAATATAATATCAATATAGTACAATTTTTTAAAAATAACATACATATGTATATATAGAGGTTTATAAAAACTGGGGCCTCTTAATTTGGAGGCCCTAGGCAAACGACTTGCTTGCCTGTGCTCAGGGCCTCCCTTGGTTGGTGTAACTGGCTTTGGCCTTCTATTTAATGAAACTCAATTTTGACGGAAAAAAAAAAGCTATTGAATTGGCGACTAGAAATGCTTTAACTAAAACAAAAAGGAAAGATAGAGTGGTCTAATGCTTGTTCACTAGTCATCACATTGCCTTCTCACATGTTGGAGTACACAGTTAAATGGTTACATAAACTTTTATGTTCCCTTCTCACATTGCCTTCTAACTGGACATATATTTCCAGAGTCCATAACACAACGAAAACATCTCTGCAAATGTTTTAATCTCTAGACTATTTTCTCCCTACCCATCTTCAACTGCAAAAAATTAAAAAATAAATAAAAACAAACTTCATCCTATCAATCTTACTCCTAAAACTTCTCATTGCCCTCACCAATTGAGGTTCTATGTCTCTTTTGGTCAATTATAAAATCCCAACTCTTTTGAAGTAATTATCATCAAATTGCACATAATAAATATTCTAATTTCATTTCTCAGATTGCTGGAATCAATGGCAAAGAGGCGAATCGGGCTGGCCGCTCCATCCGTATTCAAGTCATTATTATAAAACCTTGAAGTATTTTCCATCAGTACTTCATATTTAGCATGGTCTGTAATGTACTTCATAGGTATTTGGGGGGGTAATGTATAGAGCACAGTAACTCTGACTAATTTAACATTTATAGCACAGTAGGGGACTCACCCATAATTGGGACGATGCTAAAGTAAGTATTTTCTAATGAGAAAGCTACCCAGCAACTCTCAGAATAAACCAATATTGCTCCGTTTTCTCCATGAGAACAAGTTGTAAGTTCCAACATCAAATGATCAAGATACTTCCTGCAATGACATCTCGAAAGATCCCCAGTGCATTGGGCCACAAGATGAAGATCCTTTTTCTTATTTCGCCACCACATAATTTTATGTACCTTCCCATAAGAAACCCGAACCGTCTCGAGAGCATAGTGTGTTTTCAGTGTAGAAGCGTTGACGACAAGGACATTCAATAGATATTTTGTCCATTTATAAAAGGACTGGGATTTTTCACATTTTGCGGAGCCACATGACATCGAACTTTGTTGTCAATTTGGCCTGAGAAATCATTGTTCGAGTATTTGAAGTGGCATGCTCCAAACCATAGCAATTGCCTTTCGAACACAGCCTCCACAATCTCCAACAGAGGTATTACCAAAACAAAGAACGCTACCATATACTTTGTATTGGCCATTGTCATCAGCCATTGAGAGATTCCTAAAACCATCAGGTGTATATTGGGAAATAAAACTTGTAAGTTTGTCCAAATTTTCCTCATAAGAATCATTTGAAGTGAAAGTATCCGAGCCTAAACATTCATGGATGCCATCACTAGTCTTAGAAAAATCAGTTTGGAGCAGAACGAGTGAGGAGATGATGAATTCTGAGAGATGCATTTTTGACTTGTATGTTATATGATGTGGGGGATGGTTTAAATCAACAACACAACTTATAATATGTATACACACACAGTTGAAGGATCCCTTAAATAACACTATTATGAGCCTATTTTGTATTGAATTTCAAAGATATGAATGGTCTAGTTTTTAAGTATTCAATGTTTGATATCACTCAATTAATAGTTGTTATTTTAGTGTTTTCTTGAAGTATACAAGGATTATCGAGTTGATGACCAAAGTTAGCCAATTCATCTGCTACCATGTTTGCTTCGCGAAACACATGTCGAAGTTGAAGGACTTAATGTTAAGAGTTATTTAGTTTTGTTTAATTAAGTTTCTAATTAACTAATGCTGACCTGATAACAAGTCAAGCTAGAGTCCTAGCATGTAGGGGATGTGGTTGAGTCTGCTCACAACGATCACAATTTGCTTCCGTTGTTTAGAGTTGTTATCTCCACAAAATCTGCACTGGTTGTGTTTGTTTTGACTTGTGTTAGTGGTTTTGATTTCAATTACCAACACTTAAAACTCTGCCGATAGTTGTCGAATATCCATAAGTCAAAACAAAGCGCCTGGGAGGATGTTGATTACCCTTTAACAAATCAAATTATATGGTCACATGTTGGAAGATACAGTAATTTGGTTACATTTTTCCAAGTCTAAAATGACTATTTATTATTAAACGAGTACAATAAAAAAATAAAAAAAATTTGAGAAGGCAATTTGACATGGTAATGCTACCAAAGGACAGAACTCCCAAGGTACAACAAGAGCGTAGATATTTTGTACTTCGAAAAAAGTGGCTGACGTCTTTTTTCTTTTCTTGAACTTTAAATACTAACCGAACTCATAGTAATTTAGATTAATAGGTAGCTCCTTTGCATAAGAACCCCTTTTTTTTTTTTTTTTTTTTTTTTTTTTTTAAAGCAATAGAATCATCAAGTGTACAATTCATCAGCCAAGTGGGACATTCCTCCCTCAAAAGAAAAACAAGCGAGCCTATGAGACACATTATTACATTCTCTCGGAGCATAATTAATAGAAAAAATAACTAAACTATTCATTAGCTCGTGCACATCCGCTGCAAGAATTTACCTTATGCTAAGTCAACATTCCTGATAATTATCTTTTTGCCAACCGTACAATGGGAGTTTGAACTCAGGATCAGTTGGAAGTAGGCCAATCCAACGAACACCCTATTGGTTCGACATTCCTCATAATTACTCCCCAGGGACACAGCCCATAAGAAACCCGAAAATACTGGGTTTAACCTTATGCACAACATCACCATAATATAACTTAACCATAGCAATATGCAATCAAAATAAATCAAGAAATAAACTTGACCACATATAATAAGTGTACAACTTGTTACCCTGCTATATATGAATGCATAATTTCACAATAGAAAGGTTATACTTATAGACCACTAAATTAACTACTTAATTAATCAACTGATCAGTTTCCACTAGACACCTAAGAATGTTCACCTGTAGCTGGAGACAAGAAATGTAGCTTCCTACTTCTGCCAACAATTCATTTTCTTCACCCATCTCATTCCCACCCGGTAAAAGCCGTCTTAGAGATGTCAACTTCTTCTCAATAATCTCTGCCTCTTTGCTTTTCTTTGTCTTTCCATTCATGGCTAAATTTCTTTTCAGAAAATGTGGCCTGACCTTATTAGACATATTATGATTCGAGTACCTCTTCATCTTGCTGGCACTAACACTGGGATTTGGGAGAAAGTTCAAGGGCTTAGGAACATGATGACGTGGCAATAATCCCTCACCATATATGAGTACATGTCTTGTTTGGAGCTGTTGTTTCAAGGCACGGCTCCATGCAAACTGATAAGTTGAGGCAGAGAATACCATTGCCATGTTCACTTGGTACCCAACAAGTTTCTCTAACTTAGAGTTAGAGTAGTCTTCATCAACATTTTTGTTCGATGAGGAAATGGTGTTTTCTTCAAACATCTTCTTCAGAGCCGGCAATAAGTGACTTAGATATTTTCTTGCAAACACAGAACGTGCCAATTTGATGGGATGAAGAGAGTAAACTCGTCGATGTTGTTTACTCATTTGCCCCATCACCATTATTGACAAATAAGAGAGGAAAATGCTAGCTGACACACTATTTATAAAGTGAAAATAAAGGTATAGAAGAGCAACCTGACAAGAGCAATGAAAATGATAATTAAGGAGGAAAAGAAATATGGTGGTGGTGGCAGCGGCGGCAAACCAAGCTTTCTCTATGGAGTAATGGTGGTGGAAGCACCTGGTTTTAAACAAATGCTGGTCATGGATATGGCATATATAGGAGTGTGACAGCTTAAAAATATTAAAAGAAAACAAATTTATAATAGAAATATCAGTGTCAGTTATAAGAAATGAAACTGTTCATTGGCACCAGATAGGATTGATGTGGAAATTTCACTATTGTGATCTGTAGAGAGAGAGAGAGAGAGAGAGAGAGAGAGAGAGAGAGAGAGAGAGAGAGAGGTATTCTCGATGTCACGA